GCTCTTTTAAGTGGGGTGATTGATTATGCTGGCACTTTAATTGGTCACCCAGGGTGGAGTTTGGAGATGTTATTTGGATATGCCTTTTTCCCTATTGCCTACTTGATTGGAGTAACAGAATTTGAACAAGCTTTGGTTTTTAATGATAAAATAATATTTTTAAAAATTAATTTTTAGATAGTTGGAAGGTTATTGGGTGTAAAAATAGCAGTCAGCGATTTTATAGCTTATAAAAGACTTGGAGAAGTCCTCCATCTTTTAACGGTTTTATAAAATTAATTTAAATTTTAATTAATTTATAATTAGCCTCGTTCTGCAATGATTGCAACTTATGCTTTATGTAGCTTCAGTAATTTTATTGCTGCTGGTGTACAAATGTCAGTACTTGGTGGAATGTCTCCCCAAAAGAAACCTCTAATCTCTAAATTAATTATGCGAGCTTTAATGGCTGGTTGTATTTCTTGTTTTGTTTCTGCTTGTATTGCCGGTAAATTAAATATTTATTTTTTGTAAATAAATATTAAATAATAATGTAATGTAATTTTAATGTAATTTAATGATTAATTTAATTTAATAATTTTATTAATTAATTTTAATGTAATGTAATTTTAAATTCAGTAAAAATTTAAAATTTAATTAGAGCTTGGAACTGTTCGTGATAATCTTAGCTATCATTCGCCGATTGTCAGGATGATTTCACCTACCCTTTTCCGAAATTAGTTAGATTTTCCTCTGGTACCGAAGGGGAAATTTTTTAATTCTTAAACACAAATGGGAATTTTTGACTTTTTGAGACAAATGATTTTTATTTTTAAAAAAATGCGTTCCCCTTAATTGTGATATGAATAATGAAAGTTAAATAAAAATATCCCTTGCACAACCCCTTAAATTAAATGTATTCCTACACATTCTAATCTTTTAATTAATATTTATATTTTTAGGTATTTTAATAGAGGATCCAATACTTTGCCAAAGAACATATGGCACAAATTCTGGGAAATGTTTTGATATAAATGAACACCAAAAATTTATGGAAGAAATTATTAAACAGAGAAATATTACCGGAAATATTATTTAAATTTTTTTGAAAATATTTTTTTATTTTACGATATTGCTTTAAAATATTTTTGTATAATATATTTTCTATTAATATTAGAAATAAAGTTAAATTACTTTAAAAATATTTTTATTGTATTTTAAATCGTTTATTTTTCCACTAGTACTTTTTCCAATAAATTTTGTCAAATTCATTCAATATTTCCAACAAAAAAATTTGAATTTCTATTTAGAATTTTATATATACATACATATTAGATGTCTTAGTTTTCTTAATTTTTTATCTTAATTTTGATTTTTTAATTAATTTTGTTTTTAAATTTAACTGCCCTAAAATCTTTATTTATTTTAGAAAAATTATAAATGCTTTAAATAATTTCATTATGTTAAAAATCTTTTAAAACTATTTCTGTCTAATTTAATCGAAAAACTTAGAAAATCAAGAAAAGAAATCTTTCTCATATTTTTTTAAATTTTATTTACAAAATTTAAACATTATCAACATTATTTTCTTCATTTCCATTTTTAATTTGTAAAGGTTCGTAGGCAAACATTGAAGACTTTGTTGTTGTTTTAACCCAATGTAAATCATTCCAGTTAGAAATGTTTAGTAACATTAAAATTCCAATAATTAATGGCACAGTTATTAATAAAATTGGAAGCAAAAATAAAAAAAAATTAATTGAAGTATTTGTTTCTGTTTTAATTTTTGAAGAAAATTTTGATGGGCAATTTTGAGGGAAATTATTAGAAGTTGTTTGGATAAAATCTAGAGCCTCTAAAGGGTGTTGCCAATGATAAATAGTTGAGCTATTTGATATGGGAACACAAATATAGCCTTTAGGCTTCTGAAAAAAATTTTATTTAAAAAGTAAAGAAAAATAATTGATAAAAATATTTAATTATTAACAGAAAAATTAAAAATAATTTACATGTATGTATTACCTCCAATTCTCCAACTATTTTTATTAAACGCTCAGGCATAGGACAAGCACAATCTAACGGATTCCCGTCTACTTTTAATTCTGATATTCTTTCAATTTGTGTTTCGCTCCAATCCCAGCCCAATTTATTCAACGAATTATTCCGAAAATCATATTCAAGAAATCGCTAAATAAAAATATTGTTTTGACACAAATATCCTGAAAGGATCTATCCAAATTCATAATATTTTTGTCAGAAAACGTTAAATTAATTATACCGTAAATATTTTAATATAAGCACTGGGCTTATATTTTTCAATGCCCCCATCGGGTGGGCTTCTAATAGGGTATGTGCTTCTATTAGGATATTTACTGTGTATCAATTGTCTAAACTTATTTTTAAACTAGTGTTGCACCCCGACCCCGTTCCCCGTCCCCGCTCCCGAACGATTTTTTCAGACTTCTCCCCGCCCCGTTCCCCGCCCCGAAACAATTCAAAAACCCCGTCCCCCGACAACCCCGAAAAACTTTCGGGGTTGTCGGGGGTAAGACCCCCATAAAATTCCATTTTTTAGAGGAATTTAAAGAGAAAAATTTAGAAAATTCCCTCCCGATTTACTTTGTACTTATTATTTTTAAAGGAAAAATGAATGTAATAATAAAATTCTCCTTATATTTTTTTTCCAAGAGACGTGTGGTTGAGTGGTTTAGTTGTTAGATTTAGCTATATTATGCTATGGAGTCGCATAAGGATATCTGTTTTATTTTATTTTTCTTTAAAAAATAAATTATAACAAGTGTTCAAATTTATTTTTAAATATTATCTAACATAAAAACAAGCCAAATATTTTTGTTTAGTTCTTGAAATCAAAAAATTTTCGCCTGCGGCGCTATAGAGGAAGAAACCAGGCTTTATGATCTAACACAATTCTCAAAATTTTCGCCTGAGGATCTAAAATTAATACAACTAATTTACATTCTATACTGAGATATTAGCATTTCATCTCATTGGAAAGCATAAAATTAGAGGGTGATCGGTGGACTGGAATCAGAGGTATCAAGGGATCTGTATGAGATCAGAGGATTAAGAGGATTTGAAGGACTAATAGGAGTAAATTAAAGTGGGTTTGAATGAATCACGAGTATTTGAGGATATCGAACGGGAGATTAGGAGCGACATTGAGATATTAATCCTCAGATATACCCTGATATCCGAACAAATCCCCTGATCTCCCTTCATTCCCTTCAAATCCCTAATCCGTCAATATCCTTCTAAATAACTGATATTCCATGAACTACCCTTAATTATTCGAACCTCTTATATCACCAGATATATCAGTTTATCTTTTCAAATCTTCCTTAATCCGTCCGAATTTATTTAACTTCACATGTATAGACTTTAAATCATTAAAACCATTTAATCCCACCTTATTTCATTAATTTTTGAATAAATTAACGAAAATAGACAGAAAACGACTTATTTTTAGAGCATTTTTTGTTTAAAATTTTTTTTCTTTAAACCCCCGTTCCCCGTCCCCGTCCCCGGCCTAATTTTGCTCCCCGACCCCGTTCCCCGCCCCGAAACAATTCAAAAACCCCGTACCCCGACATACCCGCCCCCGAGCGTTCGGGGTGCAACCCTATTTTAAACATTTAAATATACTTACATTAATTGGCAATAAATATCCAGGAACTTCAGTTAATTTATTTCCACATAACTCGAGAGATCTAAGAGCCAAAAACTTGCTAAAATTGGGCATTTCTTCAAGTAAACAATTATTTAATTGAATAAATATTAATTTAAAATTTGTTTTTCTTTTATTAATTTGAATATTAATTCCTTTGTTTTGATTTAAATATAGAAACGTTAATGAAGGTAGCCACTCAAATGAATTAAATATTTTCAATTGATTATTTGATAAATCAAGAACTTCGATTGAAGGAAATTCTTCTTTAATTGAACTGCCGAATTTTTGGAGTTGATTATTTGATAGATTTAGATAGGCTAGTTTTGTTGGGATATTTGTTAGTGAAGATTCTAACTAGAAATTAATTATAAATATATTTTGAAGGACTAGCAAACGTTTTATCCTTTTTAAGAGGGTAGATTAAAAAATAAAAACCACCAAACAAAAATAAATCAAAAATAAATTCAGCTTGCCTCAAAACGATTAAGTTTATTTCCAGCCAAATCAAGCTGTGACAGACAAGGAAATAATGTCATTAATAACTTTCCATTTTCTGGAAAATAGTTAATTAAATTGTTTGCCAAATTTAAAGTGATTAATGAATGGCTGACATCTAAAAGACTTTCTGGCCATTCTTTAAAGATATTTGAATTTAATGAAACGGATAAAAGTTTCTCTGGTCCAGAAGATTCACCAAAAATTAAGCGGTCAAACTTGTTGTTATCTGCATGTAGCCATTTAAGCTTTTTACATCCTCTTAAAATATTAATATAAGTACATAAAACAAAGAAAAACCTTAAATTTAATTCATAACCAACTCCAATATTCCCAATTTCAAGCAATTCCATATTTAACGAGCAAAATGTCCAAGGATTATTTTTTAAATTTAATCCATTATTATTATTTTCATTTATTTTTGAATTATTTAAATAAAAATTGTTTTGAATTGTTGATTTAAATATTTTTGTATTTTTTAATTTAAATTGTTTTAATTTAGTTTCTGGTCGTTTAGTCCATTCAAAAAAGAATTCTTCGGGAAAATAACCTCCATTAGAAAAATCCAATACTTCAAGTGAGGCTATATTCTCTAAAGAATTTGGATGAATTTTAATATCTTTATTTTGATCAACACGTAATTCTTTCAAAACTTTCCAATTATTTTGAGCAAAAGGTAAAATACAAAAAATATCTGATGAATTTGTTGCCTTTGAATTTTTCTGAAAATTTAATGGATTAATAATTCCCTCAAAAAATACAGGAGAAGGCGGCCCCAGACATTTTCGGTTATTTACCTTGAGGAGAGGAGGAGAGGCTAATTATTTGTTGGGGGAGGCTAACTCTTATTATTAAGTTCTCTAGCCATTTTAAATTTCCATTCATTCTCATTTATTTCAATAAATTCGCTTTGCATTTCAATAATGTGAATTTGACGTGAAAGAGGTAAAGATGGCAATAATATATTTGGTGATTTAACAACTTCACTTGTATTAAAAGAGCAAAAAGGATTTCTTGAAATAACCAAACTGTCGAGTATTTGCCCTTTACTTCCTAACTGTCCTCCAATTCCTTCCAATCCGTTAATTTTATTTCCACTCAAATCCAACACTTTTAAATTTCTCATAGTTTGAAGAATATTTTTTGGAAGTTTTTCAATTAAATTATCAGACAAAATTAATTCTTCAATTCCAGGAAGTGGTTGAAATGCTAATGGATGTATAAATTGAAGATTTGAATGTTTAATTTGAAGTTTTTTAAGACCAGAATGCATTGAAAAATGAGGGAATTCTGATTGACTTAAATTAAAAGCTTCAAATGTTTCTGTCCATTCTGGAAGTCTTACCTTTAAAAATTAATTTTAAAAAATTTAAATTAATTAAATAACCATATTTAATATAAATTCCTCTTTATTATTCCCTTTAAAACAATCAACAATTTTCAGTTCTTCATAGCATCTACAAACTTGACAAATTGGATAGTCATTATTTAATTCTTGAGTTGTTATATATTTTATATTTAAAAATAAATAATAGAAAATCAAGAAACAAAACATTCTTGAAGGGAAAAAATTAAAACAAATGTTGATTTGTGGAAAAAATAATTAATAATTGTCACAAATTTACAAATAGGTAAATAGATAGAAAAATAATTGATTTCAGCTTAAAGATTATCAGTTTATCTTTTTAAATAAATAAAATATATGTAATAAATTATTTAAAATTAAATAGTAAAATAAATAAATAATAGTAATTTTAAATTATAAGCAGAGGTGGGTCGGAACAGTCAGAGGTGTCGGAAATCGGAAGAGCCGGAACTCAGAATTCCGACCCACCTCTGATTACATATAAGTTAATCCCGAAAATTAAAAAAAATGATAAAAAAATTTGAGATAAATCTTTGTAATGCTTAACTTAAAAATAAAATGTCAATAAATAATTTTAAGGATTTCCAAAATATTCTTTCCTTTCCTTTCAACGCCTTTCCTTATATTTAAGTTGGCATAAAAATAAACCAAAAAATGTTTTGTCAATTTTTCTCTCTTCTTTCTTCCAGACTAACAACAAATTGAAAGAATAACAACACAAAAAGCACCAAAAATTTAAAAAGAAAAAAAACTAGTCCAAGAAACATAAAAAATAAATTTTTTTTCTTTAAAAGATGTCTTAACTTTTCCATTTTTTACATAAATTTTTTTCTATCAATTCTGCTTCTTTTTTTAATTTATGAATAAAATTTAAATAATAAACTTTTATTTTATTCAAAAAAATTAATTTTGAAAATTTTCATTTTTGTTACAATTTAATGTCGGGTTAAAAATTTAAATTTTAAAAAGAAAAATTTCTTTTTTATTCATTCTAATTATTTTAAAAATATCACAAAATTTGTGTTAAACTTTTCCTGCTATAATCGCTTCAAATTATTATTATTAACCCTTTTCCAGACATTACTTAAAAGATCTTAAAAATATTATTTGAGAATAATCTTCCAATTAAAGAAAGTTTCAAATTCACAAACATATTACTGAAAAAAGGACATAAAGCCGTTATATAATGAGTCCATTCTAACAAAAACACCTATAAATATATTTATTATTTTTTACTAATTTTTTAAAGTTTATCTACGTCTTCTTATTAGTTAGGTATTTTAAAATATATTTTTATAATTTTTTATAAATTTTGTAAAAAAATAAAATTATTTCCGGTACATATTTATAATATTAAAATTCCTTTAATTAAAAATTTTTTTTTCAATTATTTTAAACAATACTTTAACACAAAACTAATATTTAATTTTAAATTAATTTTTAGAAATTCCTGTATATATAATATTTTTGAGCCAAATTTAATGAACTCTAAATGATCGCGTGCCGAACATTTCTTTTAAAATATAATTATTTATTTAAATATTTCTGTGTTACTATTGACAACAATTAATTTAAAGAGAAATGTCCTTTCTTTATTTTACTTTTCCTTATTAATTTTAAGTTTTTTAATTCTCCATTTTTGACAAGAAAATTAAATTTGTATGTATTTAATTTTAATTAAAGTAATATTTAAATAAAGAATTTTAAAGGCAAACCTATTCATTTCTAGAGAAATATAACGTTTATTTTATTAGAAATAAAAGAGAAATAAACTGACTTTAAATTTATTTAAAATTTTTTAGATATTTTTTCGAATACTTGTTCTTAATTTAAAAATTAAAGAAATATAAAAAATAAATTAAAATTCTTGATTTTAGTTAAATTTAAAAATTAATTAAGATTCTTTTCGGGAAATTTAAAATTCATTGCTTGGTTAGCGCTTGCTCAATGTTTAACCCAAATAAATTGGTAATATTGTATATTTTTAATAAAATGTAATTATTAAATACCTTAATTAGTACTCTATTAATGCCTCCAGAATAGGGTTGTCGATACTAATAAATGCTTTAGATATTCGAAAAATCCCTCTATATAATTTAGAATTAACTAAAACGAAAATAAATAATTTCTAAAAATCTTTCTCAGTGTGAACTTCCACCTGAAGCTGAACATATTCTTGGCCCCGATGTTTGGGGGAAGATGAATGAAATTAGAAACAATTCATCTCTCTCAATTCACGACAAACGTGTTCAAATTCATCAATTGTTTGCTACTTTGCCCGAAGGGACTCTAGACAAATTGCCGTTACCAAAAGAATTTGACAATTTGCCGGCTGATGTTATTTTTTAAAATTTAAAAATAAATTTTAACATTAAATTAAGGTCCGTGAAAAGATAAAAGCACTTTGGCGTCAACATGATTTACCAATTGAAAAGAAAAAAGAGCAATTTGAAGCTTTGATTAAAACACTTTCGCCAGAACTTCAAAAGCAAATGTGTGGACAAATGTGTGCTAAATTGAAGGAAAGGAAGGAAGTATAGGTATTAGAGAGAGAAAATATATTTTGATAAGAAAAAAAAAGGAAATTCTTTGATATTAAAAATTAAACATTTAATGTAAAATATATCAGTAATTGTACTATTTTCGGTAAAAAAAATTATAACAAAAAATATAACAAACATTCTTGTATTATTTAGTATTAATTAATATTTTGGCTAAAATGGATAAATTTTTGCAAAAAATTTTTTTTTGATATTTTGTTTGTTTTTGTATTCTTTAATTATTGTAAAGTTAAACAATCAAAACAATAAATAACGAAATTTGATAAATTTTATCTTAACATTAACATAAACATAGGTAATTAAAATTCAACTAAATATTTAATATTATATTTAAATTTTCCATACCTTAATAATAATTTTATGTAAAATAATTCATATGTTCATATTAACTAAACTACAATTGATAAATAAATAGTACATATTTATAGACTTCTTATCAATTATTTAAAAACATTCCAAGTTGTTGGATTCTACTTTGATACATATTTTGTTTATTCTTAAATGATGTTGTTTTTCCTATTCCCCCAAAAACATAATTTAAATATTCCTTTCAATTTATTTTAAATATTCTTTTTCTGTTGTAAACCCTTTAAATAATTCTTTATTAAATTTAAAATATTCCCCATAATCATCTGTTTCCCTTTTATCTAAAACATTCAAACCGTTCCCTTAAAACATTCCTTATCTAAACATTTAAACTTTAAATAAACTTTTACAACTGTCTTTCCATTTTACTTATATATTAAACTTCCGCCTACATACATATATTATATGTATGTATATTATATCCATATATTATATGTATTTCTCATTAAATTTACGTTCCATCCTTAATTTGAACTGAACGTTGTATTGAACTAATCTTTAGTAATCGAAAGTAAATTTTTTATTGAAAGATTGTGCCCATTAAATGAGTTAATAGTAGAAAATTAATTAAGAAACCTCAATTAGAGTTTGAGAGAAAAATAAAGATAAAATAAATAAGTTAGAACCGGGACCTTAATACAAGTATACATAATAGGTATATATTTAATATTTAATTTAAAAATAAATAAAGGAAACAATGTTTTTATTTTTAATTCTTTTATTTTTAATAATATTATCATTTTGGAATTTTATTTGGAAACGTCGTAATCTACCCCCAGGACCAACACCTTTACCAATTTTTGGAAATGCTTTTGCAATGGATAGGTTAAAATACCTAATTATTATTTTAATCTTAAGAGACTTATGTAGATTAATTTATGAACAATTTCAAATTTGGGCAAAGGAATTCGGGCCGGTTTACACAATTTGGATGGGTGAAGTACCTATAGTTATGGTTACTGATTACGAATTAATTCGTGATTTGTTTGTTAAAGAAGGGGATATTTATGCTGGAAGGCACTTTTTGGTAGATTTGTTTCAGGAATTTAGAGGTTTGTTTGTAATAATATTTAGGTATTTTTGGGAAGGAAATTTGAATAAACCTTTTTATATAGGGAAGTTTAGGAGTTCGAAAATTCGACTTTTGCTAGACTCTTATCAGGTAAAAAGAAAAATAGCCAATTCCATAAAGTAAAAAATAAAACAAAATTATTACAATAATAAAGAGAAAAAATTAAATTATTTAAAAATAGCTGCCAAAAACCTAAAAGGAGGGGTAACACGAATGGAAGGAGAACAATGGAAAACTATTCGTCGTTTTGGCCTTCAATCTATGCGAAATTTGGGTGTTGGAAAGAATGAACTTGAAAATAAATTAATTAAAGATTTAGAGAATTTTATCGAGAAATTAAAAGGAGAATTAAAAACAAACATTACCGGAGAAATTAATTTACAAAAATATATTGACAGAATTGTTGGCTCAACAATTAATCGTCTTCTCTTTGGTTATGCTTTTGAAGATGTTATTTTTCTTTTAAAGATTTTTATTATTCGATTTAATTTTAGGAGCAAATAAACGAATTTTATGAATTAAAAAATATTATGGATAATGAACTAGAATTATTGTCAAGCATTACTGGCCGAATGTTATTATCTATGCCTCGTTTACGTTATTTACCGGTCTTTTCAAAAACATTTAAATTATTGGATGATAATATAGAAAAAGTTTTTAATTATATAAATAGAATAGTTTATGAAAGAATTAATAAAATGAAATTTGGAGAAAATGAAGAACCAAAGGATTTACTCGATTATTTTTTAAAACAATCAGAAGAAGCAAAAAATGCTAATTGGTCTGAAGAGAAAAAGGAAAACTTTGAGTGAGTGCCGCAGAAATTTCGTTTTCGGGAACTTTGGGCTAAAAAATTAAATTACATTCCCTCTCACTAATATTTAATTTTAAAGTTTGAAAAATTTGGCACCTTTTTCATTTGATTTATTCATTGCTGGGCAGGAAACAACAGCAAAAACACTTGGGTTTCTAGTTTTATATTTGTTACTAGATCAGCGAGTTCAGAAGAAATTGCATAAAGAATTGGACAATTTAAGAGAAGAAAAAATTATAAATGGTTTTGATGCTTATTTTACAATGACTGATAGAACTAAATTACCTTATTTAAATGCCGTTATAAATGTAAGGATTAAAAATAAATTTTAACAAAAAATATGTTTTCGAGGATTGATATTGTTATAGTAAAGCAGCTGGGCGATAGCTATTTCTCTCCTTTAGCTAGAGCAAAAGGTTATTCGGCGGCTGGGAGCGAACCAGCATCTTCAGTAGACCGGACTGATGTGTTAGCCATTACACCACGCCGCCTACTGCTCAGCCTTAGGAAATTAATAGATATATGCTTTACATTATTTTACTTTAATTTACTTATTTTAGACTATTTTTAAAAACTTTAAAAATTATTTGAAAATTAAGGAAACTCAACGCTCGGCAAATTTACTTCCAATAAATCTTGCCCATCGTACAATGAGTGATGCAAATATATTAAATAAATTTAATCTTAAAAAAGGCACTCCAATAGTTCCACAAATTTGTTGTGTTCTTTTTGACGAAAAAGTTCAGAGAATTTATTTATTAAAATTTTTATATAAAAATTTAAGATATTTCCACGTCCTTATAGATTTGAGCCTGAACGATTTCTAGATGATCAGGGCATGTTAAAACGTGTAGAGCAATTAATTCCGTTTGGTATTGGTAAAAGGTATACTTAATAAATTATTTAAAACTTTTTAAATACAGTCCCATTTTACAAAATATATTTTTGGAAATAGTACACCTTAATAGCAAAACAAAAAGTAATACTTCTTCACTTCGAATAATTTATCTTTAATATTTATCTTATCTATATCTCATTATCTATTTATTTAATAACTTCTTTAGACACATGTTTCATCCCCAAGGGTTGTATTTACAAGATGAGCCAGACTGATCAAAAAATTAAAGATTTAAATAATTAAATTTAAATTAATTAAAGAATTTGTATGGGAGAATCTCTGGCCAGAATGGAAATATTTCTTTTTGCCTCAAACTTCTTCAGTCATTTTGAAGTATTTAAATTTATAGAATTTTTAAACAATTTTTTTTAATTTTAGGTTCTCCCTGTAGATCCACTTAATCCTCCTTCAAGCGAAAAAAGACGTGGTCTTACTGTTGCTCCCATTCATTATAATTGTCGTTTGGTTGCTCGAACCATTAATAATTAATTAATTTATTTATTTATTATTCAATATATTCTATCTTTAATTTAAATAATTTTATTAAAAATTTTTTCATTTTTAAATATTATTTTAATTACCTATTTTGAAATTTTTTTAAAACCCAAAAATAGTATTTCCTTGATTAGGCTGTAAACAGATATATTTATCTTCACTAAATAAATTTAATCGGATTAAAAACAAATTTTAAAAAATAATTATCTATTATTTATCGTCATTAAATCTATTAAAATATTGTTAGAATTTATATAGGTATCTGTTATTTAATATTTATCTCCCAATTAAAAAAAGTTTTTATTAAAAACTTCCCATTCTTTCCAATTTATTTTATCTCCAAAATTATTTAAAGATAATCTTCCTCTACCCGCCCATTTCTCAATTTATTAAATTAAAAAAGAATTTTTTGGCAAATAAAAACCTCCCAAATTTTCATTATTTTAAAAACATTTTTAATTTAATAAATTTTATTCTCAAAAAAATATTTTTAAATGATTTTCTCAACAAAAATTATTTTACTTTCGTTAATATTACCTGCTTTGATTCTGGCTAAAAGTCGTGAAAAATCAGATGAAATAATTATGGACGGAGGTAAAAGAAACTTTTCTATGGACACATTGCCCAATTGTACTGAAAAACATGATGATATGGATCAGTCGTCTCCACGTCCTATTGGATTACCTCCGTGTAAACCTCCATTTGAACATCACCCTCGCCGTGTTGGAGAAGGTGAAGGACCAAATAAGAATGTTTAAATGAAAGAAAATAAGATAAAAAGGAGGAATTTAATTAATTAAATATATTATTGTGATATTCACATTTTTAATTAATTAAAAATGAAAAATAAATATCCTTTTATTCTACATATTACAATATTTTTACTAGTAATAAAAATAGAAAATATTTTTAAAAAATTATTAAGGAATAACTAAATATAATAGAAAGATCAAAAGATGTGCACCAAACACTTCAAGGTGCACATCAGAAGACTTTGGGTCATTCGATACTTTGGGTGTCGATACTCTGGGTGTCGATACTTTGGGTGTCGATACTCTGGGGTGGACTCCTTCCTCAATTCCCCACTTTAAAAAATATTTTGCGGGAAATGCTTGCACTTTTAATTTGCTTGAATTTTTAATTTCAAAATTTTTAAAGGAAGTCTGGTGATTGAGTTTAATATGTATTAAAAAATATGTGAAAGTATTTTAAAATTTCCTTAATGTTTTCCATTAGGTATTTGTTAATATTAGATAAAAGTGCATAATTTGATGAAAGACTTTTAAAATAATTTTTATTTTACGTATACATGTTTACAATAGTTATTTCATCATATTATTTAATATATTTAGAGATTCCGACTTTTTGGAATCTTTAATCTGAACACGCATTTTCAAATTTAATCAGACCTAACAGCGAAAATGGAAAATACTATTCATTTTTCAGCGCCACAATTCCTGTTAATTTATCTTATGATCATCCACCAAAGATCTGGAAAAAACTTGTAATGCTGACTAAGGTCAATCCGTTGAAGTTTCCACGATAATAACAATCTATTAATTCTAACAGAAAAACTTTATTTTAGTCAATTTTTAAGTTTTTAATTTTGAATAAAAAATAGTTTTTGAAAATCAATATTAAATTTCAATATTCTATTATGGCCCTTCTTATACATGTACAATAATTGACACTTTACAGACAAATAAAATATATTCAAGACAATAAAAAATTCAATAAAAAATTTTTTTTAATTTATTCACTGACTGGCTATTATCACATCCCTGACTGCCAAATCGATTTAGCTTTTCACCCCCCCCCCCCCACCCATCTCCCCCCCCCCCTTCACTTCTCCATCTCCCCCATCCCTAATGTATTTTTTTAAATTTTATTTTATAAATTATTTAATTAAAAATGCGTTTAAACATTAAATATATTTTTATAACTTCTTTATTTATTTTAACTTTAATTATTTTCTTTCTAAATTTTTGTTATTATTATAACAATAATTTAGGGAAGGATTTAAAGATTAATTATGAGACATTTATAAGGTAATTTTTTAAAAATATTTTTTAAATCACAAAAATTATTTTTATTTTCTAAGACCATTAATTGTTGATTTTAATTGTTTGGAAAATCAAAATAATGGCAAAAACTGTACATATCCAGTGGCTGTAGCAATACCTGATGGATATCCACAAATATCAAATGAATTTATTGAAATTAAATTTATTTTGGATATTTCTGAAAGTAGAGATTTTTGGCTTTTTAAAAACGTTAACAATTCAACAGATTTAATTGCAACTAGGGGGTAATTATTTAAATTATATTTTTGGTGGAAAATTAATTTTTGGCAAAAGCTTAAATATTTAAATTTTATTAATAACACATTTAAAAATAAAATATGTAATTATTACGAGATTCTACAATTTCAAAAATTAAAAAGTTTTTTTCTCTCCAGAAAGAACCTTGGTCCCTCGATATCAAATTACCCATAATCCCTCTATAATTTGATGGGACGCATATACTATTTATGGGACGCTTATACTTCGATGGGACGTATAAAAGTTCATGGGAAGCATAAACATGGGACGCATGTCCTAAATTAGAGCTGTTATTTTTATTTAAACACATTTTTTAAATACTTTTAAAGGTTTAATCGTTCCCAATCAAATATAAAAAATGTTGAAATGCCTGCTGATTGGAAAGCTTTTAATAAAGATTGGAAAAACGGAAAGTATTTAGAATGTACCCCTTTACTTGAAAGGCCCAAATATACACGTAGAGCAATCCCTATAAAATTTTTGGACAGACTTGTTGAATTCTCTAATTTATTAGAAAAACATAATGCAACAGCTTTTCTTATGGGTGGATCTTCGAAATTCAAAATCTTCGAAATTCATTGGGTTCTAGGTCGATTGAAGAATTCTTTTGAATTAAGTGTTTATGTGGATGGAAACAAAATTGATCTTTTTTACTTATATAAAACAACAAATTCAACAGAAAATGCTTCAATTGGTGGAATGCGTCATTTGATAAAACAACGTCTTCGATGGAATTATCCAAAATTGTCTGGAGAAATCTGTGCCGCAGAAATGCATGGAAGACTTTTTCATGTTTTGTGTGATTATTATAAAATTGTTGAGGTAAACAATTTAATTATAAGATTTAAATTGACTTTAAATTATCTTTCAAAAAGATAAAAACTAGTATATTTGAGAGATTCCATCTTATAATTAAACTATATTTTGAATTTCCGTATATTCTGAACTTAATTATCCCCTCTAGTGAAAGGTCGAAACAATAATTGCCCAGGGTAATTATTTGAGAATATACGGTATTCATTTATTTAACTTAGTTTATGCTTCTTTCTATTAGAGGAACAAAAATAAAAATAATAAAACTTAAAACATGCATGTAATCATTTCTTTCCCCCGTTATATGTGGGGAGGGAGATATATAACACTTTTAACACTATTCAGCACTATTCAACTGTTATGTTTTTACAATAATATTTTTAATTTTTTTTATTTTTAAAGTCTGATTATGGAAAAGAAGAATGGAAAAAAGATCACCATACAAGCAATTTTGCTTGGGATAAAAGTAACAAAAACAAAGAGTCTATGGAAATATATACAGAAGCAGAATGGCCAAATGTTTACCTTTATGTTGGAAATAAAAATGATCGTTTTGACTCTAAGAAAGTTGATGAATGGATTAAAAATATAAACAAAACTTTATGAAAAACACACAAAAATTATTTTATTTTTCACTTTGATTTTATTTAAATTCCATTAAATTTTATGTATATTATATTTAAATTGATATGTTATATAATTTAAATTACATATTATATAATTTATTTAATTTTTATTTAAATTGATATGTACATACCTACATTAAATATTTTAAATTGGCACTTTTTTATAAATAGGATTTGATAAGGGAGAGGTGTAGGCTAAAGCACACTTTATAACGTTTTTAAAAATTAAACAATTTATACTATGTCAAACGAAAAAGCTCGTCGAACTGATTTTGATAACCCCAAAATTAGTTGAGCTGAGTCGAATGACACCAAAATCTCCGTGATTGAACAAGTTTTGGGAATGTTATGGTCGTTTGTTTTAACACCTCACATAGGCCTCCGGGAAAAGGTTTTTGCCGGCGCGGAGGAATCCGGGCATGTCGAACGGAACGACGGCCACCCCTTCGCTACAGTCACCGCGAATGAAGCACGGCCATCGTGTATCGAAGACTACCTGTAGCGAAGACACTGCGGCCTATCCGTAGCAGCACAAAAAGTTTTTCCATCGAAGATTCAGTTGGTCATAATTTTGTTCAGAATCGTCGAATCATGCTGATTTTGGTGTCATTCTACTCAGCTTGACGAGTTCTTTCGGTTGAATAAAAATTGTTTAATTTTAAAAACGTTATCTAACATTATCTACTCACTGAGAAATCGAGGCTGGCATTCTCGTTAATTTCTCGCTAGTCAATTTAAGGGTCTTAAAAACTTTACTTCTTTAGGGAAATACTTCTGGCCGGCGAATGTATGTGGTAGTATATACAAGCTCTAACACAATTTACATCCCATCAACAAATCTTACTTATTTCTCTCCTCTATATATAAGCAGAAGAGAAAGGAGAACGTTGGTGATCCTGCTCGGCGCCGTTTCCCGCCTGGGCCAGTGCTGCCTCGACGTGTTCGCTGCTGCGTTGCTCTGTGTCTGCTGTGTGCTTTCTCCCATTCACCATCTCTGTGTTTGTACCAACTTTTCAATTTTCAATGTTAAATGTCTGTCACACTCCCAATCCAAATTCAATGTCTAAACTCTCGCCTCAGCAAAACAATACGCCCCCCCCAGATAATGTCAAATCCATAAAATGTCAAATAATACTATAAACCCACAAAATGTCAAAAAAGGCATTAAACCCACAAAATGTCAAATAATACTATAAACACACAAAATGTCAAATCCATATAATGTCAAACCCATAAAATGTCAAAAAGGCCAAAAACCCACATAATGGCGATAAAATCTTTATTTGTTGTTTTTATTTGTTTTGTTTGTTTGCTTTGATTGTTTTTTGACAATTAAAGGTTATTAATTGTTCCCCATCTTTTATTTGTTATAATAATTTTTCTAAGATGTTTAATTTAATCTTTTAGATGAATATCAGGCTTAAACTCGCCGAGTTACAGAAGTAAAGAAAACGGCGGTTTCCAATCGATGTATTGTCTGAATTTAATCAAGAACAGCAACAATCCGAGCCTTATTGTACTACCTCAAAGATATGTGAGACGAGGATTTAGTTTGGTGGTCAATTCTTCGACAGGCGTTCTGTCAACATTTCTCGCACATTTTGCGTCAACATATGTAGGTCTTACCCAAATTGAATTGGAATTGGGATCGGAAGCTTTTCAAAGAGGGGTCCAAGTACATTCAGTACAAGAAGTTGATGAAAATAATTATAATTTTTCAGGTTTTTTGTTTTGTTTTTGGTGATTTTTAAATTGTTCGGTAATTGTATTGATTTAATTACTTATCCTGTTTGTTGATTCGGTGTTTTTATGAATAAAATTGTTTTATTTTTCAAGCTTAATTTTGCTCAATACAATTTTTAGAACAGTGCTTCTCTTTTTAGGGTCTTTTGCGTTTGTTATCAATTTTTAAAATTATGCCTTTTTTGACATTTTGTGGGGTTGTAGCCTTATTTGACATTTTGTGGGTTTATAGCATTTTTTGACATTTTGTGGGTTTATAGCCTTTTCGCCATTTTATGGATTCGCCATTATATGGGATTTGACATTTTGTGGGTTTTTGGCCGTCTCGCCATTTTATGGGTTCGCCATTTTATGGATTTGACATTTTATGGGGGAGCCAAACAATAAAGCAAAACAGCCATTATATTTCGTACACCCACTTCTCTCCTTCACAAACAACTCTATTATTGCTTTGATTCTCTCCTCCCAATTTAACTATGTATGTTCTTCTCTCAACCATGTGCGAATATGATTTGCGTATCGCCGCAGTCAGGGCACACTGGAAGTGGCTTAAGGCTTAGCCTCAGTATGCCAGGGTTCGGGACATCTCCCAAGAACATCGGTCTGGACATGGCCTTCCATGGCGGTTGCATACGGTTCGGAAGTCGGTGCAGTGATCGCCCAATTTTTTTCTCGAATGAAACAAAAATAATACACAATCTTTAATAAATATTTTTAGCATCATTTTTCAATAAAAGTTTTTATAATTTAGGTTAATTAACGAAAAAAACTTCATAAAAATTTTTTTATTTAACAAAACCTGGAAATATTAACATTAAAAGATAATTTTAATAAAATAATTAATTCACATTATCTAATCTTTAATTTAAAAACCTCAATTTAAAAGAAAAGATTAAACCCGATTTTTTTTAAAAAACATTAATTTCTTTCTTCATTTTCCTTCTTTTTAATTTTAAAATTTTTGTTTAAATTCATCCCCAATATTCTGACTTAATAAACGTCGAAAGAACAAAGCAAAAAATAATATCGACAAAACAAAAATCCAAATAAGAGGATTTTCTAAAAGAAAGGGACGAGAAGAGGATTGAATTAATTGTTGTTGTTGTTGTTGAGTATTTGGAAGAATATTGTTGGAAATTGAAATTTGTTGTTGTGTTGATTCTTCGACTTTAAAAGAAAAGAATTTATTTAATCAAAATATTTTTTATAATAAAAATAATTTGTAGTGGAGGGGCATTAATTAAATTATCTTCTGATGCATCCACAACTTCTCTCACAATCGATTCAAGAGTAGAAACTTTAAAAAATTGTAAAGAATTTTAGAAATAAAATTAAAATATTTTTCGGTTTCAATTTAAAAATGAATTTTCAAAAATTTTTTAACAGAATCTCTCCAACGGATATACATTTAAAATAACTACTTTTATTATTTTGAAAAAATTTATTTTCAAAAAATTTGTTTACCAATTTCTGGGGAGGATGAATTTTCTTCAAGAGGAACAGTCTTTTTACAAGAAACATTCTTTACTTCCTCAATTAATCGTTTAGTGTCCTCATTTTTCTCAATTTGAGGAAGGACATCTCGCATTTTAATTCCACATTGAGGGCAATTCCAATCCAAACTCCTTTTAAAAAATTAAAAATAATTTTAAATTATCTTAAACTTTTAAGCCTTTCGTGGATCAAAATTCTTAAATTTTCAAATTTTGGTAAAATTCCGTCATATCTCCCAGAAACCGATTCGGACAAAATATATGTCATTCGAAAGAGCTCACCGAGCTGAGTCGAACGACACCAAAATTAGCTTCGGGACTCACAAATGGGCCGAGATATAGGTCCCCGAAAATCGAAAAACCAAAGGGGGGACCAAGCACAATTTTGGGGTGAAAAATTCGATTTTTCAAGTGATAGCTCATTCGAAAGAGCTCCTCGAGCTGAGTCGAGTGACACCAAAATCAATGAAATCCGACTTGATTGGACAAAGTTATGATTGTTTGTTTTAGCTCCTTACCTACGGCATCCGTGGAGTTCTTGCTGCTGCGGAGGAAGCCGGGCATGCCCACCTCATAGATGATAGGAATAGGATTATGTTACGAGCCCAGAACCCAGCGACCGTAGACTCCCCGCGAGGCGCGTGCCGCAAAACCCCGCGCGAAGCGCGGGGTTTTGCACAAGCGCCTCGCCTACTCCCCATAGGTTTACGTTGTCCATTTTGAACCTATTTATCTTGGCTCAGAATCAAGATTTCGAGCTGATTTTGGTGTCATTCGACTCAGCTCGAAGAGCTCTCTCTAATGAGCTATCATTCGAAAAATCGAATTTTTCACCCCAAAATTGTGCTTACTCCCCCCTATGGTTTTTCGATTTTCGGGGACCTATATCTCGGCCCATTTGTGAGTCCCGAAGCTAATTTTGGTGTCATTCGACTCAGCTCGGTGAGCTCTTTCGAATGACATATATTTTGTCCGAATCGGTTTCCGGGAGATATGACGGAATTTTTCCCAAATTTTATATTATTTTGATAAAAAAACTTTTAAATAACTCTCAGAATTTTATTTTAAAAAAAATATACATAATTGCCAATCGTTGTCTTTCCTCTGGACTACACTCCAAACTTCCAAGTGCTCCAGCTGAATGAGTGGGCCTAGAAAAATAAATTAAAAACAGCTAAATTCAGAAAATACATAAATCCAATAAGTGCAAGAAGAGCTGTTCGGTATAATTTCGGAATACTAAACAGACTCCAATTGGGACAAATTATATGTCATTCAACTCAGCTCGGCGAGCTGAGTCGAATGACATCTAAATATCGATTGGGACGTAATTATGGGCCGAGATACAGGGCTCGAAATGGTCAAAAACCATAGGGGGGACCAAGCACTTTTTTGAGGTGAAAAATTCGAAAACGCAAATAATAGCTCATTCGAAAGAGCTCCTCGAGATGAGTCGAATGAGAGCAAAATCAGCGTGATCCGACTTGATTCGACAAAGTTATGATCGTTTGTTTTAGCTCCTTACCTTTGGTCTACGTGCAGGTTTTTCTTGCTGGGGAGGAAGCCAGACATGCCGACCGCAGCTAAAATAGGCATAAGTTTATGTTACGAGCCCAGACCCAGCGCCCGTAGACTCCCCGCGAGGCGCGTGCCGCAAAACCCCGCGCGAAGCGCGGGGTTTTGCACAAGCGCCTCGCCGACACCCCATAGGTTTACGTTGTTTGTTTTTTCTGTCATAACTTCGATCAAACCTGACCAATCACGGCGATTTTGGTCTCATTCGACTCAGCTCGAGGAGCTCTTTCGAATGAGGTATAATTTGCATATTCGAATTTTTCACCTCAAAAAAGTGCTTGGTCCCCCCTATGGTTTTTGACCATTTCGAGCCCTGTATCTCGGCCCATAGTTATGTCCCAATCGATATTTTGATGTCATTCGACTCAGCTCGCCGAGCTGAGTCGAATGACATATAATATGTCCCAATCGGAGTCTGTTTAGTATTCCGAAATTATTCCGAGCTGTTCTAATTGACCAAGACGGCAGCCAAGTCTCGGGATGATAACCAGAAATACTAGAAAATAAAAAAAAAATTTGGGAAAATATTGGACGAATATTAGAGAGGTGAAAATATTTTTGAATTTCTCCAAATTTATTTTCCTGAATTTAGTCATAGTCCTCCGAAGAAATTTTCAAGTAAAATTTAAAAAAACCTTAAACAAATATTTTTATTTGTTTCGAATCTTCCATTCGGCGTTAAAAGACGTAAATTTGGCGGCTTCATTGGATACTCAACTGGAAGCAAAATTCGTCCGTGATAGACACCTTCCGAATAAACAGTATCTGGAGGCCCTCGAACAGTAAAATGCCATTCAAAAAGATTTTCCTTTAAAATATTTTAAATTATTTAAATAATAAAATTATCTGACAAAGGCGTAGCCAGGGGCTTCTGGGGCTAAAGCCCCCCCCCCTCGAAATTAACCCCCTGGCTACGTTCTTGTTATCTGACTAATAAACTAATCTTGAAAAAATATTTATGGCTCTATTACACAATATACGTCCAATCAACTATTATGCGTCCAATCAACTTTTATACGTCCAATCAAAATTTATACGTCCAATGAAAATTTATGCGTCCAAACAAATTTTTATACGTCCAATCAAGTTTTATGCGTCCAAATAAATTTTTATATGTCCAGTAAAAAAATAAATTCAGAAAAAATCAAAATAATTTTTATATATTATAACGCCTTGCTCAAAAGGGGTTAATAGAAACAACTGTTCCCGTCACATGAACAACCGTCCCCGTCACTGGAACAACCGTCCCCGTCACTGGATCAATCTCAAATCCGGTTTAAAATGGATTCGGATCCGGATTTGGCAATGGAGCCGGACCGTATCCAGCCGGATTTTTCTGAATTAATCCGGTCGGGAAAAAATCCGGAGATCGCGAAAAAACCCGGATTTGGTATCCGGACTCTTGAAAAATCCGGCCGGATCCGGCCCGGTCGCTAATAAAAATGTGTTTGGACATATAAAATTTGATTGGACGCATAAACTTTTCATTGGACGCATAAATTTTTATTGGACGCATAATCTTTTCATTGGACGTATAAACTTTCATTGGACGTATAAAAGTTGATTGGACGCATAATAGTTGATTGGACGTATATTGTGTAATAGAGCCATATTTATTTTTAAAATAGACTTTAAAAAATAAAAATTAGAAAACCTCCAAAGGTTGAGCATGAAATACCGTATTTACTCTAATTAAATGACATCTCTAATTGAATGACATCTCTAATTGAATGACACTTTTTAGGGGTATATGAAAAATAGAATGACAGTCTCCATTTGAATGACATCTTTAATTGAATGACATTTTTTAAATATTAACTATCTAACTCTTATATCTCTATCCCCTTTATTAACTAGTTTATATTCCTTTTTCGTATGGATAAATGTGATATTTTTGAAGGGATTAAGAGGGATATTAAGCGGATTAAGAGGGATATCAGGGGATTCGTGAGGAAAAAGAGATATATCAAGAGATTAAAGAATTTGGGAAAAATATCGAGAGATTGAAATGATTAGAGGATGTTTTAGTGATTAGTAGATCAAGAGGGATTAAGAGGGTTAGTGAAGGATTTGGAATGATATAGTGGATTTGAAGGATATCAGGGATATAAGATGAACTGAGTCATATCTGGAGATATTGATGGATTTGGATTCTGATATTTTTAGATATGAATAATCTTAATATTTTGTGAAAAAGAAATGGATGTCCTTCAAATTACATATATCCCATTAAGTCCTACAAATATCTACAGCCCTACAAATACTATCTCTCCTTAATCACTTGATATATTCCAAGTCCTTCAATATCCCTCCGAATCCCAACAAATCTCCTGATGTCCATCATCACCTAATATAATCCTTCAAAATAACTCTAAATGACTGATCACTCTATATCCCATTAAGTCCTACAAATATCTATATCATGACCAAATTCCTCAATGGCACAAACTATCGAAACCCAAATGTCGGTATAATTTTAAAAACCTGCAACCGAAAATTTCGAAAACCAAACTATAGAAAACCAAAAAATCGGTAAAATTTCGAATTCAGAAATATTAGATAGTATATTCGATTCATCCTATCTGTATTTCTGACCTATGAAAAATAAAATGACAGTCTCCAATTGAATGACATCTCTAATTGAATGACACTTTTTAGGGGTATATGAAAAATAGAATGACTGTCATTCTATTAGAGAAAATACGGTAATTCATTAGGTTTACAAAGTTCTTTAGCTTCATTCAATAAACGTTTAACCCCTTTAATTTAATTAAAATATAAAATTAATTTTTAATTAAAAACCAGTAGAACGTTGACTATTTAATTCATTTGCATTTTGGACAGAAGAATTTCTTTGGGAATTTTCTGAATTCATTTTATAATTAAAAATTCATCTAAAAATATTTTTTTATTTATTTATTGCCATAAAGGCGCAATGAAAATAGAACAATAAAGCCAATCAAAACACAAATACATTATTGTAAATTTAATTAATTAGGCTTTAATTCAGAACTTAAACACAAAACAAATACTGACAGTTTGGATTTCTTGAATAAACTTCGCCAATTTATCAAGAAAAGATTTTTTGGATTAATTGACCGTAAATATTAGTTTGCCACCGACCCTTCTGGGATAGGAGAAACATTTAAAGAGTAAGTGTGGAATTTTCTAAACTCTAGACGGATCAATTTGATTTCATATACCGTAAATATCCTAATAGAAGCACACTCAATAAGGCCAACATTTACGGTAAATTAAATTTACAGATTATTTTTGGCATAAAGAATTTTTAACAATCACAAAAGAAGGGTTGTTTGTTAAGCTTTTTTTGAAAATTACTAAAATCAAGTTTTAAAACATTATTTCAACTGACTGGCAACTAAAACTTGTCACAAAATCTGTCAAATTGCTCTGTATAGGTACCACGAAATTACATAGTATTTACCTTTTAATGTTTCCCTTAAGCAAAAAAAATTTAAAATTTTGTTTAATTCATTTTATTAAATGCTGTAATAAACATCTTATTTTTTAATTATTTTTGTCTGTGATTTTTAATAGTGAAATGTAGCTTTAATCGATGCAACGAGAGAATAATATGGCAGTAAATGTATTATATTATAGCCCTAAAGATCAACTTAATTAAACACAAAATCGGCAACTTTAAAGTAAATAAATATTTTTATTTAACTTTAATTAATATTTAATATAAAAATTGCCGGTATCAAAAATATTTTAGATAATATTCCCGACCTTTTATTTACCGATAAGAATTTTTTCTGAATATTTTTACATAATTATTTATTCTTTTTAAAGTTATTTAAGAATATTTTACTTTAATTTTCTTATTAATTTATTTAAAAATATTATTCACTAATTTAGATAATAAGAATTTTTTAAAATTATTTTTAATTATTAAGAATTTTTTTATTAAGAATTCTCTTTACAAAAATTAATATTTAATTATTTTCTATCAATATAATTTCAATTTAATTATTATCACTTTTATTTTACCATTCAATTAAAATTAATGATAGAATAAATTAATTAATTAAATCTAAATACCAATACTATTGAAATTTCTTCTTTTTTTAATTTTAAAATATTAATGTGCAGTTATTTTTTCTTTAATTATTAAAAATTCTCAATTGTTTTCTTATTGTTCCTTTCATTTCCAAAGCTTAAATTACTTAATAAAATATTTTTATTTGAAAACATTTAAGAATGCTCACCAATAATTTATTAAATAAATTAATTTTCTATATACTATTTTCATTAATTAATTTAATTTCTTCTACTTCAATTGCACCAAATTTTAGAATTGATTGTACTCCAATACCGGGTGAAAATAAATCCAAATGTTTAGAACGTGGATGTATTTGGGATGATAATTATGATAAAGTAATTATAAATTTATTTAATTTAAAGCTAATATAATTCTAAATTATTTTTGGTTATTTATTTTAATAAACTTTTTAGAAAATTTAATTACCCTTACTAAATAGATACATACAATTAAATTAATGTACCTAGTGTTAGTTTTATTAATTTTTATCTGACATGGATGGGCTACAAATTTTTTTTATTTTTCTACAGTCGGATCTCGTTTGTAAGAAGTGATATTTGGGAGTTTTCATATAATTTTGTGCCGGAATGTATTTACAAATTAGCTATGTTTAGTGTAGAACCCGGACCGAGACGAGATCTCGATTCCCGTTCTAACTTAGTGTGTGTATTTTGTTTATCTTTGATTAAAAAATATTTAATTATTTTTTTTATTTTCAAGTATCATTCTTCTGTTCCTCTCTGCTATTTTCCACCAAAAACTGGATATCGAATTCAAAAACGTTTAACTAAAAATAAATTATTATTAGAAAGAATTAAAGGAGCTAAAAATCCTTACGGGGAAGATTTTAAATTATTGGAATTTGAAGTTGAAGAGATCTCTTCTGCTCTTCATGTTAAAATTGGGCATGATAAACGGTAATTAATTTACTCAAGAAGTAGAGGAAGGTGGAAAAGCTTTAATTCCCTAATAATTTTTTTAGTTTTATTCCTCCAATCGAATTAAATTTAAATTCAAAAATTGAAACATTACAAGAAGATAAATTAAATATTGAAATATTACCTCAATTTAAACAAAAATTGAATGGTCTGGGTGATTCTGACGAATTTTTTTCTTTTAATATTGTTAGGAATAAAACAAAAATATGGGATACTTCTATTGGTAATTAATTAAAATTAAATTAATTTTTTAGAAAAAAATTTCTTTAAGGAGGTCTTCTTTTTGCTGATCAGTATATTCAAATAGCTACTTACTTGCCTAGTGATAGAATATATGGATTTGGAGAAAATCCACATCAATCATTAAAAGTGATTTTCTTAATTTTTGATAACTTTTTCCTTAAATTTTTTAGCATGATTTTTCAAAATATACAACTTGGGGAATGCTTGGTAGAGATCAGCCACCAGATTATAACAACCCTAATTCAGCCAATTTATATGGTAAAAAAATAAATAAATTTATTTAAAAATAATTTATTTTTAGGTGTTCATCCATTTTATATTGGATTAGAACCAAATGGAAAAGCTCACGGAGTTTTAATTTTAAATTCAAATGCACAGGAAATAACTACGGGACCTGGGCCACACTTAATTTATAGGTGGGATATAAAAATATTTCTCTTGTCTAAAATATATATACGGATCTCCTCATTATGTGCATGATAACCAGTTTGCATGGCACTCACACATTAACGTTTATTTTCATCTATCCCGTTGTCACAATCTAAAAATATTTAAAAATTATCCTAAAAATAATAAAAAAAATCTTTTAATTTTTAGAACAATTGGTGGGAGACTCGACATTTTATTTTTGCCAGGACCTACTCCAGAACAGGTTATTCAACAGTTTCAACAAATAATTGGCCGCCCTTGTATGCCTGCTTATTGGGCATTAGGCTATCAATTTAGTAGATTTGGATATAAAGTATTAAATAAATTTAAATTAATAAAAATATTTTGTTTGTTTAAAAGGGTTTGAATGATTTAAAACAAACAATAAATAGAATGATCAATGCTAAAATACCTATTGATGTTGTTTTTGCTGATATAGATTATATGGAACGTTATAAGGATTTTAGTGTTGATTCTGAGGTATTTAAATATTTTTTGAGAGATTTTGGAAAATGAAAAAATTTAATAGAAATGGGTAGCTATGAAAGAATATATAAATATATTACATGATAAAGGGCTTCGATTTGTTCCAATTGTTGATCCAGCAATACAGGTGGAGAGTATCTAATTTTGGAATTTTTTTATCTTCAAAGGTTAATTATGATGTTTTTGAAAGAGCAATTAAAAGTGGGGCTAAATTTGTTGAATGGGAACGTTTTGATCAAGTTCAGCATTCTATACAGAAATTATATCCTTTAACTAAATCAACAAAAATAATGCTGGGAATTGTTTGGCCTGATAAACATGTTGCTTTTCCTGATTTTTTTGATTTTGACAGAGAAAGCAAAACACAAAAATGGTAAAAATTATGTACTTATTTTGTAAAATTTATTAATAAATGTCCATATTCTGGGAGAAAAATGCAGTAAAAAAAGTTAAACCTCCCAATCCAAAAACAACTAAATATTTTAAAATAAAAAAAACAATTTAATATACCTATTTATAATCCTTCAATATTAAATTATATTTAAATTTTTTCAAAAATAATCTTTAGGTGGATTGACGAAATAAAGACATTTCATGACATAGTAAATAAATTTAAAATATTTTTTAAATCCCTTTTAAATTACCTAGCTACCTTTTGATGGTCTTTGGATTGATATGGATGAACCTTCTAATTTTGCAACAAATAAACAAACAAAAGAAAAAGGGTTAGAAACATTAAAATGTCCAATGAATGGACCTGATTCTAAATATGATAATCCCCCATATAAGGTGTTGATTTTTATTTAAGACTGAGAATTAAATAATAATTTAAAGACAATAAGTGTTTATCAGTGGAAAAGTTTTCTTAGTGAAAAAACTCTTTGTATGCTTGGGAGAACAAGAGGGGGAGATTATAATTTATATGATACACACAATTTATATGGATTGGCCGAAACTATTGTTACTCGAAAAGCTTTGGGTAAATTCAAATAATTTTTAGTAAATTAGTTTTGTTAAATAATTTTAGAAGTTTTTTGGAATTTTCGTAAATATTTTTACTAATTTAAATTATTTTTTCAAAATTATTTTTCTTGTAGAATCAGCAACAGGTGTACAGAAAAGATATGTCTTTATCTTAACTTTTCCGTCTTCTATTCAATAAATTGAATAGGAAAAAATTAAATTAACCTGAACACCTAAATTTAAAATAAATATACGACTTCTTTCCAATTCTTTTATTATCAAAACTTTCTTTTAAAATAAGGGAAAAACAAAAGCCAGCAAAGATTGAATGGGAGAGTTTGTAATGAAAAAATGAATGGAAGATGAAGAAGAAGTGAATTTTTGGGGTTTAGGCTTTTGTTTTAAAGCAAATTTGTGGGCGGAAAATATTAAAAATATGAACATTAAATTTTTAATCATGAATCATTTTATTTTTAATATTTTCTTTTTCTTTCTCGTTGTGAAAGCAACACTCGGGGGGTGCGCGAAGTTTTCATTGTTGTCGTGTTGCTTGAATTGTCAATAGAAGAACACGGGCAAGTTGAAAAAGGAGCGTGGCTAAAGGAGCTGGATGTCGTTGGGCAAGTTGAGTTAAATCTCTTGCCAAATTCTCTGCCGCATTGGGCGGAATGCTGTTATTTCGATGGGAAGGCGCTGTTTGATTATTTTGTTGACCACAATTGGCTAACGGACAATTTTTGGCCAGGTGTTGTTTATTGCCACACAGGAAACAACTTTTTACAAAATTGGTGTGTGGTCGTTTGTAGCCACGATTTTGACTATTATTTGATGAGTAGCTTGAGAAGGGTTTATTAAAACAACTTGAAGTTGTTGTTATTAAAGCTGAAGAAGAACATTGTGTAGAAAATGTTGTTGCACCCCCAGAAGCATTAACATTTGATTGTGAAGCAAGCCATTGTTCAAAAAGTCCTCTTAGATTTCTTCGTTTTTCTTCTTCTTGATCTGTTGAATGTATTTGTGGTGCCTGATTATTAACCTGACTAGTGGATTGTATTTCTCTAGCCTGAACAATTTCCTGAATAGAAAGGTTAGGGGTAATTCCTATATTTTCATATACCAAAATTGTATCATTATTATCATCACTTTCCAATAATTTATTAAACAATGCTTCCTGTGTCTCATTTGGATCATTATTTGGAGTTAAAGGAGAATAACCTGGTGATCCAAATACAATACCAAACAATGTAAACAAAACAATAATATTGATCAGATTTTTAGCCACCTTCATTTTTACAGAAAATTCAACCAGGGAAAATTTATTTCCTAAAAAATCCTCCTGTTTTTCTGGTTCAACCTGAATGGAAAAATTCCATTTGTTTTCCAGATATTTAATTTCTACCTTTTCTTTATTCCCAGAGACCACTTCAATTTTTAAAGTACTTTCCAAATCATCCTGATTTTTTGTTTCTTCAATTTCTTCCTCTTTTAAAGCCTGAAAATAATTTTTATTTTTATCAATTTTTCTCAAATTTCCAGCATTTAATAATTTATTTAAATCCCTATTTTCCAAATTTTCAATAAAAATTGAACTCAAGGGATAGAACTCTTCTGCACTCCTAAATGAGTGACTAACTATTAAGCCTGGTCCAGTGTCAAAATTTTCTTCCTCAGGATTAATTATTACCTTAGATTGAGTGAGATATGCTTGGTACCAAGATTCATCCATATTTAAAGGTTTAACAGCATGTAAGAATTTTTCCTTGACCAGTAACCAATCACCTATTCCAGTTATAGGTGTAACCAGATCAATTTGACCTGGTTCAGCAATCCAAGCATTTAAATCACAGCCTTCCTCTTCCAAATTTTTTAAAGCTGTAGAAATAATATCCCGTGAATTTGATGATTTGTATAATAAATATGGCACATCCATAATTTCACAGTCCAAAACAAGGGCTGAGTATTTAATTAATGAATTATATGAAACCATTAAATAAATTTTATTAAATTTATTTTTCCTGAAAAATAAAAATAAATTTTTATTTAAAGAATATTTTTTAAAAATAAAATAAAGTTTAAAAGAATGATTTATATAAAAAAATAAAGAAGAAGAGACGCCAAATGCCTGTTTTATCTCTCCTGTATTATTCATGTCTAAAAATTTTTTCTCTTCTGTGATACACCCTCCGCGGGTAAGAGAAAAAAGAAAGAATAAAAATAGAACAGTGAATAATCTTGAGTAACCGAAAAAAATAGGGACCATCCTAAAAATAATTTTTATAAAAATACAAATGAGGATTAAAGCGATTATAATGAAAATTATAATCTTCCAGTTTAAATAATCCAGTAGTAATCCTTTAAAGTCAATTAGTGGGAAATTATTCCAAATCTCATTTATCCAAGAAAAATCACTTTTATTTGAATAAATTTCCGGAGTTCCATTTTTAACAATTACTTTAACTCTCTCAACCAGAAAGTATTCTAAAATACCCTTTAATGTAAATTCTGATTTTCCAGCTGGACATAAAACTTCACACGTTTCCAAAACTTTAGCTTTATTAAAAGAAAGTACAACATATTGTTCTGTACCTATTTTTGAACATTGAGCGGTAAAAGTGTTATCCTGACATTTTATTTCAGCTAAAGTATTTCCTGAATTCGTTTTACATTTAAATCTAAATATTGAACCAAAACATGAGTAACACCCTGTTAACTTTATTGGTTCGACTTTACATAAAGTTAATTCAGTATTTGCGGCAATTGTCCAATTGTCTATTCTCACCATTACTTGAATAGGCAAATAATTTGTTTCACTAAATATTTTCTTTCCAATACTGCGCAATTTTACTCTTTGAACATCCAGAGGCAGTATTTTAGTAGGGTCATTAAATATCCTTTCTATCGAATTATCTAAACAAGTACATGAAACTCTTTCCAGTTCATTATCTTCCCAACATTCCTGACAAACTTTAGGGTCTAAAGAACACATAGAAAAATTCTTGAAATTTCTACCACAATCTAAATACGAAGTAAATTCATCAACAATAGCAATTCCTGAATTACTAACAATAAATCTACTATTTAGAATTGGCGCAATTGGTGGTGTAAGATCCCATAAAGTAATTTTTAAATCTTTCCAATGTACTGTTAGACCAGGATGAAGTAAAAATTTAGTCTTTTCCCTGTTTTTATTTAAAATCATTGACATTTCAACTTCAACCATATAGTCCCAAGTAGGACATGTGACTAATGTATAAATCTCTTCTGATTTTGGTGTCGCGTATATCCTGTAAAAATAGCAGGTTGTTCCTGGCAACCCACATTTATAACCCCACAGTGATTGCCCTTCAATACAAAACGAATTTCCAGGGTAATTTTCAAATTTTTCCAATTCTAAAACTCTTTCATTAGTTTTAATGTTTCCACATTTTCCTGCTCTACACGTGCCTGTAGATGGACATTTCTTTACCGATTCTATATTAACATCAAAAGAACGTAAATATTCTAAAATTTCCTGATTACAAGTAGTAGAGAGAGCTTTCATAACGAATTCTAATTCTCCAATAATAATTCCCTTCTCATCTTTAATAGTAAATGAAGCTACTTGATTATCAGGTAGCAATGTAATTGTGTTAACCGTACTAATTTTACAAAATGATTTTCCTGATTTTTGATAACAATCTTCCGACTTTGCCTGTACCGAAACAACTTCCACTTCGGCATTAATTAAAGGAAAAAGGCTAAAAATTATTGCCAATAATCCTAATTTTCTCAAACGTCTATTTCTCTTCCTGTCTTTATTTAATTTTCTTTCAGGATTTTTTAATAATAATTTGTTATCATCGCCTTTATTTGGTTTCTTTTTCTTCCTAAATATCCTGGCAATCATTTTTATAATCCACCAGATAAGTGACATAATTTTTCCAAAAATAAACATTATTTTACAAATGCATAAACATATGCTGAAGAATATGCTTATCAAAAATCCGATGACAATTCCAGCAATAATTAATATTTCCTTTGATTCACAATGAATATTAATTATTCGTTCCATAAATCCTGATACAATTTTACAAGGATTAACTGCTGGGCATGTTATTCTATCTTTATATTTTCTATCCCTTTCCCAATAAGTTGATTCACAATTGTATTTATTTATAATTATTTCCTTTGGTAATTGAAAATGTAGGCTTCTCCTACCTTCCGTATTTACTACGCATTTTTCCCTGCAGCAAATTTCAATTTTGCGAATATATGGATTAACAAAAGATATAACTCCTTTGTCAGTGCATCGCAACCTGCAATCTCTACAATTCCGAATGGGATAACCATTTAAACCTAAACAAAATGTAAATAATCCAAATAATTGAATAATAGTCAATACAATAGCTTTTGCCCGAGTAATCATTGGATGTAAATTTGTATTTGCTTTTTTATTCTTTATTGTTTTATCCTGTTTTGTTTCTATTTCCTCTTGTTCCCCTCCTACTTCCAGGGGGAATAATTTATTAATAGGCCTGATTAAAGTCTTTTTACCTATTTTCACCTTCGCACTTTTTACTGGATTACCATCTAATTCTAAAATTCTGCCAAGTGGCCAAGTATTTCTGGGTTGACCTTCCTGTTGAATATGTACGATTTCACCAATTTTTGGTTGCCTTAAAATTGTTAATCGTCCATTCTGATGGTTCCAGCCTGATTTATCTCGTAGTGTTATCAAATAATTTTTCACCCAATTTTCCCAAAATTTATTGAAAATTCTTTGAGTTTCCTTCCACCTGTTTTGTAATTGTTTAGCTGTACTTAATTTACCTAGTATGAATTCATCCGAATCACTATCTTCACCAGAAAAATAATTAAGTTCAACTTCCGGAATTAAAAAATCCAATGGTCGTATTGCCAAAATTCCATCATTTTCTGTTGAAACATAAGTAAGAGGACGACAATTAATTGCAGTTTCAACTTCTTTAACAAATGTTTTCAGTTCCTCTAAATTTAAAATTGTACTTCCTAACGACCTTTTAAATGCATCC